GAACAGCCGTAGGGTTCTCTGCCCACACTAGGAGAGTGTGAAAGGAAGAAGGTTCTCTGCCTACACTTGGAGAGTGTGAACAGCCGTAGGGTTCTCTGCCCACACTAGGAGAGTGTGAAAGGACGAAGGTTCTCTGCCTACACTTGGAGAGTGTGAACAGCCGTAGGGTTCTCTGCCCACACTAGGAGAGTGTGAAAGGAAGAAGGTTCTCTGCCTACACTTGGAGAGTGTGAACAGCCGTAGGGTTCTCTGCCCACACTAGGAGAGTGTAAAAGGAAGAAGGTTCTCTGCCTACACTTGGAGAGTGTGAACAGCCGTAGGGTTCTCTGCCCACACTAGGAGAGTGTGAAAGGACGACGGTTCTCTGCCCACACTAGGAGAGTGTGAAAGGATGACGGTTCTCTGCCGCACCGGGGAGTGGTGAAAAGAGTGTTTTGTACAGGCTTCTCCGCCTTGCTGTGGGTGCTAAAGGAGAGTCACTTTGTGATATTAGTGCAATACTCAGAGGGTGCCTCTGAGGAGTGGATGTAGGTCTGGTTATAGACCGAACCACTATAAATCTGGTGTCATTTACTTTATTGCTTTTACGTTTCCGCATTTTAAATTTCAGTTTTAACAACTCTGTGGTTGAAAAACATTTTTCTACAAACTTTAAAAGAAAATTTTATTTCGGTTCAACTTTATTATTAAGAGGGTTTAAAATTTTTAAAACTACCAATTCACCCCCCTCTTGGTAGCCGTTGGACATTTACTTAGGCTTAACAACCTAATTACTAGACTCAACAGTTTGTGTGTTAGATCTTCGTACAACGCTAAGACATTAAACTATATATTTCTCTACCACCGTGAATATTCCAGGACGCAACAATAATATTATATTTAAAACTCCAAAATACTTAATAATTATTCAAAATAAATAAATATGAAATAAACTCAAATTATGATAAAGTTCTTTCAATTTCTTATAAAATAAGAAGTACTTTGGAATTTATCAAATTTATCAAAGTAAATTAAAATAGAAATAATCACAATATCATAAATTGTAAGTTTTGAAGTTGAAAAAAATTAATTATTTTATAACATATTTTTTGTGATAGATGAAAAATAGTAGTAAGATAATTGTAACTTGCTAGGTCTTATACTTATTTTTCTTTTTTGGATTTTTAACTAAAAATTTGACATCTCTTGCAATTATTCTCTTATCTGTATATTTGATAGATCTTTTGTACAAATCTAAAATGTTAAACTATCTATCTTTCTGTCATTTTGAATTTTCTTACATCTAACAATATTATTTATATTGATGATTTAAAAAATAGTTTTCTTTGATTAATAGGCCTACTATATTATTTCTCAAGCATATATTATTGTTGCGGACTAGAATATACACGGTGATAGAATTAGAAAATTTCCGTTTCAGCGTTGTACGGATATCTAACACACAAACATATGAGAAATAACACCATGATTTTTACGTGGAAAACCCTGGAAAGGGAAAAAATCACGAGGTCGTGCCCAGTTGAAATAATTCAACTAGTGTTTGTTTGAAGTACAAGAGGCTGATTCGTCCTTAAAATTTATTACAATCAGATTACAATGCTTCACTTCCGGATTGAAATCCGATTACAAACAAGTTGCGTATTAGAGATGAATTTAGAGTCACTTAGAATTCTGGCGTCATTGGGAAATCGGGCAGAGTTCCGGCGTTACATGGGCGTCGGGCAGAATTTTGGCGTCACTTGGGCGTCGGGCAGAATTCCGGCGTTAGTGGTCAAGGAGGAGTTTCTTCCCTCCTAATCTTCTTCTTTTCTCTTCCCCTTCCTCTCTTCCTCTCCTTGCTTGGGCCCCCTCTCATAAGAAATGAGAGGTCTATTTGTAGATATTATGGAGTGGCGTGACTTGTAAATAGGTGAGAGATCAATGGTAAATAGGGAGTGGTTGGATGGACGACTGATATTGAATCCCTTGATAGTGTACCGTTCGTTAGATATTTGAAGATCTTAATGATGTCGGAATTTGGCGATCTTGGCTCATTGGATTCGTATAGTTGGGCCGCTCGATTCGATTATAAGAACATCATATTTGTAAACCGTTTGATAACTCAAATTGTGGTTCGAACTTTCCAACAGCGCTTCGGGTCCTTGATTTAGACTCATTTGGGCTCGGATTGAGTCGAATTTAGTGTCGTTGAGTTCCTATTTCCGAGACGCTCAGTTTGACTATAAGTTTAATGAAATCGGAATTCAGGTGATCCCGAATTTAATTTTTGAAGTTTCTGACTTGATTTTACCTCGATATTCATTTCCCATAAAGATAATTTTTTTATGATATATCACTTTTAGGTTCTGGATAGTTCTAAGTTCATTTTACTTTGCAATTCTCATGTCTTTATTATATCAAACATCTACAAAATCAAAATGCCTCTAACCATTTGTTTCTTAATTTACAAGTTTACAACCAAAAAGCTTAAATGAATCACTTTTTAGTTTGAAAAAAATGGGTGTAAATAAATCATTTATATATTTTTTGAAAATGTGAATGTTTCATTGGATGAAATTAAAAGGAATGCAAAGTAAAGTAAAAAGATTGTACTGTAAATTATTTTAGTTTAATTTTGAGATAAAGAAAACTCTTTTAGTTTTGAGCAAAAACCTTTCTCATGGCAAACAACACCTCTTGTTGCTGCTTGTCGCCGGCCACCACCATCGACTATTGACCGTCACTCACCATCCTCAGCCACCATATATATTGGCTGCTAACCACCACCACTGCCTTGACAAGCCACTGTGCTACAACTACCACTTACTGTCATTATGATCATGAACTTTACACTACATTTATTTTACTTCAAATCAAATAAAAAAAATTATTTCACTGTATTTACATTACACTTATCTAAATAATAACAAATATTTTTTAAAACAATATTTTTTAGGATGTATTTCTTTTTCACCCAATCCAATCACTAATAAAACAAAATAATACTGATTAACAAAGATCTCAAAGATAATGATCATGAAAATCAAGCAAAATCTCATATTTTAATTTTTTAATATTAAATTTATGTCTTTTGCTCGTTTTTTGTGCAAGGGCCGTACATTCTCGGGCCCACGGATTCCAACGTGGCATAATTTGGACCGTCAAGGTTCACTTCTTGTCGTTTTCCTTCTTATATATATTAGGCAACGTGGGACCTTTCCCGTGGTCCACTCTAGTTGCCCTCTTCCTGATAAAGCATATTCACTCAACAGATTACAGGCATTAGACACAACTCACCTTGACTTATTGGTTGAAAGCTTATATTTCAACTAAGAGGTCCTGAGTTCGAGTCTTTGTGTATGCGTGGTGTGCATGAATTTGCCTTAATTGATCAAAATATTCCAAAAAAAAAAAGATTACAGGATGGAGCAAAATCAGTGTTGGTCTAATGTTGGTGGATGATCTCGTTAGGTTCCGTCAAAAAATTAGTTACGCCGTTAAGTGCTCTCTTTAGAGTGACAGCGGGTGGATACTCGCGTTAAATGTTTTGAACGGGATATCTACCCTCTGGCATCCTCAAAAGATGTATATGCCCGCGTAACAAATCTCTCGATAGTCCTACCAACAACCAACCACACAGATGCAGGTGCACACAATTATTTTCTCCTCATTTACAAAGTAGCACCACATGAGAGAGGAATTGTTCAGGCTCACCAACTGAGCTAAGCGAGGTGGTTACTAAATAATACGTCGTAGCATTGATTGAAAGAAGGAAAAGAACTAACCACTAAAATCCTGACAACTGTCACCGTTTGCTTTTCTTGCTCGCCCACTAGAAGTAGCCATACTTCGGCTCGGCTGAATCCCAGTAGATAGTAGAGCTCTGCTGCGAGCAGGAGGGTGACGAGATCCCCATCTCCGGCTTCCGCTCCTCCCGTTCTTAAAACCCTAGGCCCAAAACTTTCGAGCTTCCGATCAGAGGGAAAGAGGTATGGAAAGACCTAGCTATATAATTATTGTGTGAACGTTAAATTCTTTTTAAATTTTAATCCTAGGCTTCCTTTGAAACAGCTTTCTTCCTGCTTTCTAAATCAATTTTTACAAAAAAATTTCAACTAATTTTTTTTTGTACTAATAAGCTTCTTTAAAAAATAATGAGAGCTATTCCAAATGAAACTTTAGGGTTACTTTGATTTCTTTATCTTTTCCTTTTCAAAAATGTAAATAGAAGAAATGAATATTTTAAACGGAGAAAATAATATAATAACGCTTCTCAAAATAATAAAAAAATTTGAGTTTTGGTTTAAAAAAAAAAAAGGATAAAATTAAGTAGTCTCAAATGAGGCCTTAGTTTTTCAAAATAAAATTTTAATTTTAAAGATTTTTTCTTTTTTGAATTTTTGAGTCAATTAAAGCCAAATTAATACATCAAGTTTTAAACTTACGACCTTTTGGTTGATAGTCAAAACCCCAACCAACAGATCAAGATGAAATCAACCAAGTTTTTAACAAAATCACATTCTACATCTATTTTAGCATATCTGAATTTAAAAATTTTGATAAATTTGATAAAAAAGATTATTCACAACATAAAAATTTATTTAATATGATAATGAATTTATAATTAAATAAAACAATTGTGAAAAAATTATCACAAAAGACCCATCTTTAGTAGTTGCACATATAATCATTACAAGAAAATAAACTTTTTAAAAGCTATTTTGAGTATTGTAATTTTAAAAGTAGGACACCATTTTTCTAATAATTTACATACTTATTATTAAAAAAATTTCTCACTATAAAAATTTATGAAAAATGTAAGAAATTATAAACAGGCAAAACTATGATAGTTGTGTAGTAAACAAAGTTACGAGAAAGGTGCTTCAAATTAAACTTAGGCTTTGTTCGTAGCAGCTTATGCTTTTCTATGTTGCTTTTAAAGTTCTTTTCTAAGCTTTTTAATGTCAAAAGTTTTAAAAAATAGTGAAAAGTTATCTTCCAAATATATATTATTTTTTACTAACTTATTTTCTTACTAATAAAGCTATCAAAAAGCTTTTTCCATGAGTACTCATATATTTGCTATCTTGAGTGCTATAGCCATGGGCGGAGTTAAAGGGGGCCTATGGGGGGCACAATCATAAAATTTCTCATATCAATAAGACTTCTATGATAATCTTTTCACTATTCTTATCTATCTCATTATAAAAATAGCATCAATACTTTTTTTTTTAATGAGAAAGGAATTTGATAGCTTATATTTATTTATCTTCTCTTGTAACTTTATTGTATGACTCATAACTTTGATTTCCCTCTAATTTTTCACATAATCACCTTTACTTGAAAGGATTAATGCTAGATAGTTTCTTCTTCTTCAATCACATGATGTCATCTTAGGCTTTGTTTTGAACGGCTTTTATTTTTGTAATAGAAAGCTACTTTAAGAAACAGTAAGAAAGCTGTTCCAAGCAAAACCTTAATCTATAGGAATTTAATAATAATATTTTTTTGCCAACTCACTCTAATATATTTCTTGAATCGCCAAATCTCTATGCAAGATGCACTTAAGTTCTTACAAATGATACTCTCTTGAAAATTAACTCAACTCTACTTTTTTGGATTAACCTATTTTATACTTTATGATTAAATTTCCATTGTTTTACTAAGAATTTCATTTTTTTTATATTTTTCATTTTATAATATCTCAAAATAATAATTCTTAACTACTTTTGATTTCTTCATGTTCTAATTGATATTCAGTTATCTTCAATCTTAAATCTTAATCTTTAAAACTTGTTTAAATATTTCTCAGCATATATTCATCATAGTTGTAGATTTGGCTTTTCTTACCTCTCGTTTTAAAATTTATAAAATCCTTAAAATCATTACCTCTTAATAATATTCTATTTTTCATCATTTAATGCACATTTATTTTCTTTGAGACCTCTCGGATTACTTTGCACGGTTTATTTAAACTCCTTAGAACTGTTATGCCTATGATAATTTCTAACCACTTCATTTGATATCAAAATTGGTTCAACTAAAAAAATTTAATTTGTTCCTCTAACAGATCTAACATGAAAGAATAACAACTTCTCATTCTTTTTAATTATATCTTATGCTTAGTGAATAGTTTTTTTTATTATTATTGTTTACTTATATGCTCTAATGCTTATCTCTATAATTAATTATTACCTTACATGGTGTGGTAAACGTTCTACTAGAATTACTTTTCAGTCTTTCCAAAAAGAATGTTCTACTGTAAAAAAGATCTATCTATTTGTGATTTAATAGTTCTATCTTTTAAAGTACTCTTCTTGATTCATTATGTTAATTTTCACAGTTGCAAGATCATAGGAATCGTTAGTAAAGTGATTTATTTTTAAGCTTCAAAGGGAGATTACCGGATCTAAATGCTTGAAATTTTATATTTTAGGAGGATACTCTCAATGGCAACTGTGACCGCTTCAAATTTCATCTCACAAGGTTTTCAGGCCAAATATGGTGGAGCTTCTGAACCAGGAAAAAGAACATACACGAGCAGGAGCATGACCTCTTTGAGGAACCAAACTTCTGTGTATCATGGCCTGCGACCTCAAAACATGGTTGATACGCCTCACAAGCGAGCTAGTTTGAAAGCAAATGTCAGGGAAAGAAGCAGAGGCCCTTTTCATAAGGTTTCCCAGCCTTGGCTTATCTTATGTGGCACTGGAATGAACATAATCTTTGTTGGAGCTGAGGTTGATCCATGGAGTAAAACTGGAGGACTTGGTGATGTTCTTGGTGGATTGCCTCCTGCGTTGGCGGTAAATATTTTTCCTAAGCAAATTGAGAGAAAACAAGCTTGTATGGATTTCATTTTGATACAGAAATTCTGAGAGTATTGTGGATTGTTTATTTGGCTTCTTTAAATTTATTGCGCTGATGACTGTTAGGATGGCATTTCTATAGGCATATGGGCACCGTGTCATGACAATTTCTCCACGATACGATCAATACAAGGATGCATGGGATACTAGTGTTCGTGTTCAGGTTTACTTCCTAGTATTTGAATCCTATATTATTCAATGTGTCATGCATTCATGGGAGGATCCACCTGAATTAAGTCCGGAGGCTGAAAAAATTTTAAGAAAAACTCTTTATTATATGATTATTTAGATAATTTGTCCTTATTCATGTATTTTTTAGTCTTTATTACAAGGACTTTTGGGAAATTTCCCCCCCTAAAAGTTTTGAAATAATATGATCTTTAGATAATTGTCCCAACATAATTAAATACATTATGTAGAGATGTTAGTGTTACGGAACGATGAATCAAATACCATGTCGAACCCCGCCAGAGGGCGTTGTCCAATTGGACCCCCGACATATGTGCGAAGTATACAATGATGAACAAATAAGGGAGACAACGCCATCGGAATAAATTTTGGTTGTAAGGATATTTTTGAAAAAAATTCTATACTTTTACTTATAAATCCCCTCCCCCCCTGAAAATTAAGGCTGGATCCGCCCCTGCATGCATTATTGTTAACTTATTTCTATCTTATCTTATCTGATGATTAGTGATAGTCTATTTCTTAAAGGCTTCAATCTGCTATTCAGATTGAACTTGGGGATAGGACTGAAACTGTTGGCTTCTTCCATTGCTACAAACGAGGAGTTGATCGAGTTTTTGTTGACCATCCAATGTTTTTAGAGAAGGTATATAAATCTTCATGGCTTTATTGGGAAGTTCGATGACAAGTGATTTTTGGAGCTTATTTTAGTGGATGGTTTTAGGTGTGGGGTAAAACTGGAGGGAAGATATATGGTCCTGTGACTGGAACAGATTACCAGGACAACCAGATACGGTTCAGCCTTTTTTCTTTGGTGAGTGATCAATCCTTCAACTCCAAGTCATCCTAGTATTTGTGTTTTTTCCAAGCTTATTATCATGAATATTTAAAATTTTACCCTGCAAGTTACTTCTCTAAATAGTCATTGTAATTTCATATTTCAATACTAGATCTTGCTCCTTAAGGTTCAAGGTTTCAAGCTGCAGGAAGAGCACAAAGAACACTAAAATCATGAGGGATTTGCATACATAACTCTCAAAACTATCATAGTTATTTATTTATTAACTAGGCTTTATGACTTGCATAAAAACCTACAATTTGAAATAACACAAAAAATAATACTCTCCTTGTCCTCTTTGTACGATCCCATACCTAAACTTTCGCATACAACCAATGCCATCGTCCTTCACTAGCAAATAGCATCTTTTTTTTCACTTTATATTTCCCTTAAGTCCCTCTCAAACTTAAAGAAAAATTCTGTAAGTTGGTGGTGAGACCTACAATGCTTTATGGTGCGGAATGTTGGCTATTAAGAAAGATAGATGCAGACCTAAAAAGACTTCATTGGAAAATATTAAAAATAACATTTCATTATTAGATTTAGATAAGAATTTGACTCCTAACATGACACAATGGAGAAAACGGATTCATGTAGCCAAAGACTTGTTGTTGTTATTGTTGTTTCTTGATACTTTTCTATTCTGGATAGCCAGAAATTAATGTTATTGAATATATCAGTAAGACAAAAGAAAATTATCACCTAATATAATTTTAATTTAGCTAATTAAATTACAATTGTATGCACATAATTGCATATATGAATATAAGTCAAGAAATCACTAGTTTGTAAAATGTCATTTTGCTTTGTGCATTGTAGTTAAAAAAAAGCCCTTGGGCATCACATTTTGCTAGCACTTTCAAAACACTGGCAGGATGGAAAGTTAATTCAGTATATGTGAACCTATTTCACACTCACTATTATTTTCTCATTCTTGTCGTTTAATCTGTAGGCAGCGTTGGAGGTTCCTAGAGTCTTGAATCTGACCAATAAGTTCTTCTCCGGGCCATATGGTATGAACCATATCTTTCTGCAAATTCTACTTTATACAGCTTTCAAAAAGCTTCTGCTCTTAACTCTTTCTTCGCTCTCCTTATAGGAGAAAATGTCGTGTTTATTGCTAATGATTGGCACACTGGCATTCTTCCATGCTATTTAAAAAGCAAGTACAAAGCCAATGGAATTTATAAGAGTGCAAAGGTAATCCATCCTTTCTGTTTCTATGTGGCAGTTTTCTTGGAACTTAATTTAGCTTCCAAAGCTTGGACAGAGCTTAAGAATATGTCCTACATGTTTGTTAGGTAGCATTCTGTATTCACAATATGGCATACCAAGGTCGATTTGCCTTCTCAGACTTTTCACTTCTAAATCTCCCAAATCGTTTCAAAGCTTCTTTTGACTTCATTGACGGGTAAGAAAGTTTCTCCATGGACAAACAGGTTTTAGTTCAACGAAGCTGTTTGTCTTGTTTATCTCTGTGCTTCTGCAGGTATAACAAGCCGGTAAGAGGAAGGAAAATAAACTGGATGAAGGCTGGTTTGATAGAATCTGACACAGCCGTCACTGTGAGCCCTTACTATGCTGCAGAGCTTGTTTCAGGGGTAGAAAAAGGTGTAGAATTGGAAAACATCTCGCGAATGAAGGTTCGAAAAGGGATTGTTAATGGCATGGATGTCAATGAATGGAATCCAGCCACAGACAAATATATATCGGCTAATTACGATGCAGAAACAGTGGGTTCTTCTTACTTTGTTTTTGTTCAAATCTTTTACTTCCATCAATTCTCATGAAAATAACAATTACAGGTGACTGAGGGCAAGGCTGTGAACAAGGAAGTATTGCAAGCCCAAGTGGGTTTGCCTGTGGATAAGAACATTCCTGTCATTGTTTTCATTGGAAGGCTAGAAGAGCAGAAAGGCTCTGATATTCTTGCAGAGGCCATTCCATTGTTCATTGAAGATAATGTTCAGATTATAGTTCTAGTGTGTATTCGAAATGAATTGTTTATGTTGTTTCTTCTCAAGAAGTTGAAATTTGTAAATTTGGAGTAGTGATTGCTTTGGATGTTTTCAGGGAACTGGTAAGAAAAAGATGGAGAAGCAATTGGAGGAACTAGAAGCAAAATATCCAAACAAAGCAAGGGGAGTTGCAAAATTCAACGTTCCCTTGGCACATCAGATGCTTGCTGGCGCTGATCTGATTGTCATACCCAGTCGATTCGAGCCTTGTGGCCTTGTACAGTTGCAAGGCATGCGATATGGAGTGGTATGCTCTCTAGAGTTTTCTCCTGCTGTTTTTTGAGACCTTTTAGGATTTATTTGAAGTAGCAGCTTCACAGGTTTATAAAAATAACTATAGGGTTCTTATGTGGAAATCAGATTTTTTATCAATGCTGCTGGAGAGGAGGATGCTTAGGTGGATGAGTGGTTTTATCCTTAGAGATAGGATACGAAACGAGCATATATGTAATAAGGTTGGAGTAGCTCCAGTGGAAGATAAGATTAGAGAGAGTCGTCTTTAGATGGTTTGGTCACATTAAACGGAGGCCTTCCGATGACCAAGTTAAAAAAATCGAGGTATTAGATTTGACTTATGCTAGTTATGCTAGGAAAGGTAGAGGAATACCTAAAAAGACTTGGTTAGAAAATATTAGAATCAATCTTTCTTTATTGACTTTTAACAGGACATAATGGCGAAAAAAGATTCATGTAGCCAAGCCCATATAGTTGAACAAAGGCTTGATGTTTGTTGTTGTTGCTGCCGAAGAAGAAGTCAGCATTACTAATACTATATAATACTTCTTTTTGCTATCCTCAGAAATAAGAAAGCATATTGTTTCCAATGTGATGAAGGTATTGAAACTCTTTGCAGCTGCCCATTGGTTCATCGACTGGAGGACTTGTCGACACCATCAAAGAAGGCATTACTGGATTTCTAATGGGAGCCTTCAGCGTTGAGGTGGGAATACCTTTAACAAATTGATCTTCCACTGAAATTTCGCTAATTTAATCTACTCGTCTTTAGTGTGAAACTGTCAGCCCTGCTGACGTTGCTGCGATTGCATCAACTGTCAAGAGAGCTCTCAAAATCTATGGTACTCCCAAATTCACAAAGATGATTCAGAATTGCATGGCACAAGATCTTTCCTGGAAGGTACGTAGCATCAGCCATAACAAAATATATTATCTCCATCAACACAAGTGATGCTTAGGGCTATTTTATTTTATCTGAGCTCTGCCTTCCATGCCATTGCAGGGCCCTTCGAAGCAATGGGAGCAGGTTCTGCTCAGCCTGGAAGTAGCAGATAGTGAACCTGGATCTGAGGGAGAAGAGATCGCTCCCCTTGCCAAGGAAAACGTGGCTGCTCCTTGAAAGGAGTCAGAGCTAAGCTTGAGCACTCGCCCTTTTTGGTATGTAAAGCCTTGAAGTTTCAGAACTTTTGAATTCAACGTATGGTTCTTGGTAGTTCTAATGGGTAAATTCCGGCTATAACCAAGCTCTGCATTTGTAAGCTACATAATTGAACAAAGCACAATTTATATGGTTGGAGTTCAATTTGGTGCAGCAATTACTACCAAGTAATAGCTCCTATCTACCAACTTTCCTGCGTTTCTTATCAGGAATTTACATTTGAATAATTCAAAGAAAGCACGGAAGAATCCCTAACGGCTAATGTACTGATAAATACACTAAGGCTCTATTTGGGACAGCTTTCTTAATGCTTCTTAAAACAACTTTCTAATATAAAAAATAAATTTTTTGCACAAAAAAATTGCTTTGAGAAGCAATAAGAAAGCCATCCCAAACAAAGCCTAAGGCTTTTTTGGGACAATTTTTTTTAATGTAATTTTTTAATTTAATTTTTTTAAAAAATAATAATCATTAAAAAAAATCATCTCAAGTGAAATCATTATTTCCTCCATACTACCAACAATATTTGAATAAAAAATTATAATAGTACTAATAAATCTTTGTCAAAAGGGTCAATCATTTCTAAGAACTAGACACTCTTTGCATGATTTAAAATTAATTTCAAAATATAAATAAAGTGTATTTTTATAAGTTTATATTTATCATCATGATTCAATTGTTAAAGAGTTAAAAATTTGAATCAATTCCTTTATTTTTTTCAATTTTCTTATTATATTAGTACTTCGTATAGCCGTTGCCAACATTTTTTTAACATTAAATAGATTGAAACTTAATTTTATTACACATAAAATATTAATATTAAAATAATATTGAGTGAAGTATTATTAAATCTAACAAAAAATGAACTTATTTATTATTCATAATAAAATTTTCTTTTTATATTATCAAAACTTTATATAAAGATTAAAACTTGATTGTTGCTTTATTGATAAGAAAATAAAAATAAATTTAAACAATGTTATTAAGGCCAAAGACCTCACCTTTAAAGCAAAAAAGAAAGATTTCGAAAGCAGCATAGAAAAGTAAAAAAATATCAGCTCGTCACTAACCAAAATCATCATCAGTACATAATCTGACAGAACCCACAAAAATCTTTAAAAAGAACAATTCGAGGAAGAAAAAAAATTGGAAAAAGGGAAAATTTAATAACTCGTCTCTGAGAACTCGAAGCCATGACAGCACAAAACGATTATTGAGATTTACCGCATCATCTATGAGCCGTCACCAGCGTTTCGATAAACCTGAGCCCATCAAACCTGGGAGCGAACTTATCCACCCCTCCGTCCCTTCGCGATTCTGATCCCGCTTCCTTCACTCGTCTCTGAAAACTCAAATCCATGACAGCACAAAACGATTATTGAGATTTACCGCATCATCTATGAGCCGTCACCAGCGTTTCGATAAACCTGAGCCCATCAAACCTGGGAGCGAACTTATCCACCCCTCCGTCCCTTCGCGATTCTGATCCCGCTTCCTTCGAGCCCGACGGCAACGACGAACCCTAAAACCACAGATCTCATGTCCCATAAAATAGATGAAGAAACAGGAAAACTTACTTAAATTTTGATCAAATCTCTCGAGCTTCATTTGATTTAAAATTTTCACTTGCTTTTAAACATAAAACATTTGTTTGAAGTCGTAAGATATTGTCTCGGATAAAAGTAAAAAATGAACGATTTTTTACGGCAGTTTCTTACCACAATTTGTCTGAAAAAAAAAAAGATAATGGAAATATAATTTTAGTTCATCAAACGGATTCTTTATGATTTACTCTGCTATCCAATATAGCTTTTTTGAAGATTATTTAAATTTAAATAATTTTAATAAGATTTTCACCGAACGATACATGTATAGAATCTAGTTTCCGATTTTCGATTTGTCCTTAAAACATATTCAAAAGCTTAATCAACCGAATTCTAGCTTCCTACCTCATTCTTGAAGTGCGGGCCGGCACAGCGGTCGGAGCCGGAAGAGAGAGCAACGTAGGAGGCGGCGGAAACTGATGCGGTGGCAACCGATGCGGCTGCAAAGATTCCGGCTTTCTTCATCTCTGCAGCGGTAGAGAAGAGCCGGAGAAAATTGCCGCCTCGCTGGATCTACTGAGACCCAAAAGCCTAGCTCTGGCTGGAAAATTATGGCTCAAAGAACTTTCCCGCCTATTTGTATCCTCAGACCAATTGGCTGGATTTAATTTGGGTTTGGGTTCCGGGCCGTAGGTGGGGCCCTGTCATGACGCCCTAACGGCGCGTTGCTTGGTTGTCAAGTGGTCCTGCCTTTAATGCTTTACTTGCGTTCGACGCCGTTCGCTGGTAAAAATAATAATATTTTGTGCTTTAAAAAAAAAAATAAGAACACATCGAATTTAAACTTTAAAAAATATTTAACATTCGAAATATATATTAAATTTCATTTTAAATATTAGATATATATATAGATATATATAATATATTGATTAATAATATTTAAATAACCTAATAAATATAATTAAAAATATTTATAAAAAAATAATCATATTAGTCGAATAAAAAGTAATTAATAGATTAGAAGTAGTATTTAATTATTTGACAATAATATAATAATCAACAACTAAATAACCATCAATAAAATCTGTCTTTTTATTATTTTTTAAAGTTTTACTGAAAATCTCTATCCCATTTTAAAACTCAAAATTATAAATGTAAAAATAGTTATTGAACAAAGCATAAAAAATATTAAATTTTGGTATAAAAAGTTCAACATAGGCTTCGTTTGCGACGACTTTTTTATTCCTTGTTAAAACAAATTTTTAGTACACAATTTAAATTTTTTTAACTAAATTACTTTAAAAATAAATAAAAAAACCGTCTGAAATTAGGCCTTAATCAAACCATATTATTAATCATAACATATGAGGAAATATCTCATAAAAAAAGGCTTCAACAGCTAAGAAGATGTCACAAATGTCGTTGCTCCATCAATTAAAATCACGTTCTAAAAAAGGAATATTTAAATTAGGAAGTGATGACATTTCCAGTCCTAATATCCTAAAAGAAATTCTGAAGATAAATGCAGCTCATCAACCACTACGGATAGATAAAAAGAATAGCCAACTGATCATTAAAAAAGGCTGATTGATAGCCAAAATAAAAAAGAAAATATTTAATCCAAAATATGGTGTTCGGTATTATCACGAGGCACCCTATGAGATTGTGTAAGCTCAATAGAATATAAATACTTGGAAGTAGATCCATAGATTAGGTGGGTCAATTCAGGCCGGCAGGTCGGATTCAAGTTTGAATCGGATCTCATCCATTTATTTGACCCAATTATGACTTAACATTAACCCATCTAACTCAAAACTAACTCGTTTAACTTATTAGCATATTGATCATATATTTATTCGTATTAATATGACACGTTCGCTACAAATACGAACCATTTAATTTGAACATGTCTTGGTTAACTAGAATCTGATACATTTAACCCATTTTCAAATGGTAATATGGTCAATTATAAATTTTCAAATCAAATTGAACTCAATCAGAAATTTAATTTTTAATATTTTTAGCATGAACTCGACTGGAAATCCAATAAGGTCAAACTAAATATTAATTTTTTGAGTTTAATTTGTATTGGGTTATAGGAGTCATTTATTTACGCATTTACCTTAGAGTAGTAAAGTAGCAATATAATTGAATGATTACATGCTGATTCATTCCATCATTAGCATAAACCTATAGCCACCTTTGGCTTTGTTTGTTTTTTTTTAAACCGAAATCAACTTTATTTCAAAAGAAAAGGGACATACAATCAAAAGTAAAGAATAGCCAAAAAGGAAAGATATAAAGCTGAAAGAAAGCCACGTTAACCCAAAAAAAGGAAAGTAAGCCAAGAAAGATAAATAATCCAAAGAACCAGACTCAAAATCATCATCCGGTTGCCAAGCTTGGATCATCCGTTGGAAGAAGAGTAAACATCAACGAGAAAATCCAAATACGAAATCCACCGTAGAATACATCGAAAAAGGATCCACCAAGGTTGCCAAAACAAGTCAGAACTTTCCAGAGGGGCTTGCAGGATGGGCCTTTCAGAGGGGCGTGCAGGAGGCCTGCCTCGTCATAGTCTGAAAAACAAAATTCCATCATTTGGCTTTGTTTGTGTCAATTGTCTACAACTATGAAAAGGGCTCTGAGTTCTTCATCAAAATTAGCAATTTACTACAATTCCTTTATTTCCATTAGTGCCTTCTCTCACCTCTACCACCCGCATTATGCAGCTCGTCTCTCGCCACATCCTGAGAGGATAGCATAATCACCTATAAATACTCCATTTAGCCAAATATTCATTATCAACTAGCTTTTTCATAAGTCTATCGTACGTAGAATTCTACCACCATTCGCCAGTCAAGCATGTGGTAGTTGCTCACCATTCTTTTAAGATGCTAGAAGATATTCCTCCTCCCAAACTCCAGGTTTCGCCACTACGTGGACACCAATAACCCAATTAAGCACTTAGCAAGCTTCAACAAGCCTGCGTTAGCTAAGGTGATCGACCTTGAAGTTTTCTAGGTTGAGAAGGATCCCCTCCATGATTGCATTTCATGATTCACTTGAGTTGGCCCACATGAGGTGAGTAGTAATGACCTATGAGTTTTCCATCATCATTCTAGCACTGATATTAGATATTTGGGATTCTTGCTTATAAATGCTCAATTGTGAAAAAAAATCTCTAATAACAATTGTTGAAATGATGGAGGAGTTAAAGATCATAGATGTTGACAAGTTTATATGTACATTCTAATGTGTATAAGCATATTCCTTAAATTTCTTTATCTTATTTAACTCATGCATACTCTGATCAAGTTATAGTTAATATTCGGAGATTTATCATTTAGAAAATATTAATACGTAAAATTTGAAGTTATCTTCAAAATTATAATTTATTAATAAAATCAATTGGTTATTCTATATATAACATACCAATATACTTTATGAATCTATTTCCAAGTATTTATATTCTATTGAGCTTATAAAGTATATTGGTATGTTATATTATAAGCTACAAGAACTACTTATTGTTCTGCATATGAGAAGGTAGATCATATGCTTTAAGAAAAATATTGCTTGGCATTGGTGGCTAATTGTAATGGACAATTGGACATTGATCATTGAAAGAATTTAAATGTTATTGGCCAGAGCGTTAAAAATTGGGTGATCATGGGTGGTGGGGTTAGTGAGCTTAATTGATTGTTCTTCTAATAGATTGAGTAACCAAACAACAAGAAAAATAGATGCTAGTGATTGTCATATATTGATAGATGGTGGGAATGGAGCAAATATTATTAATAGCTAGCTCGGATGTTTTCCTACTAGGAGTACAAATAGAGTGATTGAGATGATGATCATCGTATGCCGATGCCTTGTGAATTTTGGATGTTAATTGTATGATGATGGGTCGTCATTTTGGCCATTCCACTGATATGAGGATAGATTGAGCAACTACGACAAATGTTAATGACAACAGAATATTAATATTTGGTAGGCAATGGTTGTCGATGGATAGTTAAAATTGGATAGTGCATAATGGTAAGTGTTTTTTTAACAATTGTATTTCAAATAAGAAAATGAGATTAAAACAAGGACCTTAGAACATCTGAAGCCAAAAAACATCAGAAAATAGAGAATGTAAGCAAACTCAACAAAAGAACAATCAAAGAGGCAAGAGTAGAGGAACCAACAACAGACTCAGGGGATGGTGAAGCTCCCTGCAATCACCCCGTAGCCAGGTTTAGACCATTCATTGGAGATAACCACTCAAAAACACAACTACATCCAACAACTCACTCAAGCAACTATCAAGCAGAAGAGCAGATAACCAAGGTTTCCAAAGATCCCTGGCCACCAAGATGACAAGCAAGGAGCCGCCTCATCATCTTCCAAAATTGCCAACCAAGCCCACGTCAACAAAAAGAAGATAATTCAAAAATTATTCCTTCTTAGATTTACTTTTACGTCTCTTGCCACCACCATTGAGTACTACTTGATCAACTACACATCCTACCATGAAACTATACATATCATCATTAACATGGTCACCAAAATCATCAACCTCCCCCTATAAGGCGTAGGAAGAGGCTCATCCAAATCCAGTCAATCAGATTGATCCAAAATAGAATTATTCAAAGACCGGGCCAGATGTCTTTCAATTCTGCATTAAACATAACAAAATAGAAATCTCAACAAACTCCTCATTTCCCTTTAAATCATTCACAATCGGAGACAGATCTGAATCAACATCACCAAGGGGCATCACAACTCCAGCATTACCCAGCTTAGCCAAAATTTCACTACCCCTATCAACTAAAAAATTGAAGTATCACCCGGTTCTACAGTATCAGCACAAGAGGAGATAGCAATAAGATTAATGCAACAATTATTAATATTCAAAGAATCATCAACACTATCAACACTAGCTATATTAGTGCATTCAATAGGTAAATGTGGCACAACTTCCCCAACAAAAATAGAAGGCAAAGGTACAATAGCATCCTTGACAACAGAGGGACCCATATCCCTAATAGTCCCTCACTCCAGAACCAAATCATTACTTTAACACCATAAGCTAAAATAATGTCGTCAGCAATCAAAAAAATAGGGCCTGTAGGGGACAAAATCACGGATAAACCATTAACACCTCCATCAACAATGTTAGTATCTGAGAAATTAGGGCCAATAAAGGCCAAAGCCACAGGTACATCGTCACCCAAAAGAACATTAGTTTACATAGGACTGCCAGCATCCGTCAAATCCCCCCTAACCCCATCTTCATTAGCAACCAAGGACGAGACAACCAAATCATTACTTTTAGTAATCCCAACAGGAAAAATAGGAATGAGAGAAATCATAACAGGAAAGGCGGCAGAGGGATTACAACAGTCACCCTTAACATGACCAAGATGCTTGCACGACTCACAGAAAGTAGGAAAAACTTTCATATGCACCCTTTGAACATACCCAGACTTCTCAGGCCCAAATCAAATTTGCTTAGGAAAATTTTTAGTAATGTTAAGTTCCACTAAGACCCGCACAAGAGAAGGCCTAGAGCCAACAGAAGTAGCATAGTCTACTTACAAGGGACGACCGAACATATAACCTAGAGCATGAATGATACGAGAAGAAAAAACATGGGGTCTCAGACTGGGAAAGGATACCCAGATCGGAATCACCGGAGATTTAATACCGACATGTAGAAATGGAGACCATTTTGTAAGTTTCATGAAGCAATTGTTCACCAAATAGGATCTATGGCAAAAAATTATATTGTAATCAAGGTCATTAGAAAGCTTGATCAAAATATGCGACTGGTCAAGAACAGTTACGGAGAATTCGGCATTGAGCTTCAAATTAAAGAAAAATTTCCGAATTGCATTCAGAGAAGGACGACGCGTAGGGAAAAAACCAACCAACACAAATTGAAACAGTACTGAAAGAGCACTAATTTCTTCCTCCGAAAACCACAGGGAACGTCAAGTCATGACCCACAATAGGTATAGCACAAAAATTACATAAGATTTTTACCAAACAAAAACCATCCCATTATATATATGTAAAAATATGATCAATTTATATATTTAAAGAGTTGACATTTTGCCCACTCTACTTGAATCCCATACACTCAATGGAATGATTTAAGTAGTTTTCCCTAGCTGTTATATATTTTTCGAATGTTTTAATGTCTTTATTAAGTCATAGGCTCAACAAATTTATATCATCAATACGCTAATTTTAACTTTAAACAAAAAAATTAATTTTTTTTATCTCCTGAATAACCTCAAGAAGTTGATAATTATATTTTGTATTGATATCATTAGGTTAATTGCATCGAAAGCCATTTCCTCAGTTATGAATTTAAAATTTTTAGCTAAAATAAGGAAGTTTTGAAATAAAAATTTTGATTTAAATCCGTATCGATTCAAATCAAATTTTTGAGCATATTAATATCATATAAATAAACTGATTTTGTAGAAAAATAAAAAAATAAAACACGCGTTAAAAGCTGCGAACGTGCTTTGGCCTCAATAAATCAAGAAACTGTGCAATTGATCACCCTATCCTTCTACGGAATTTGTATTGTGTTCGGACACGGTACCGAGAATACCTAATGATACCGAGTGCAGTACCGAGCTTTGTACCGAGCGCCTAGTGACGTAGCACTTTTTTATTGGTCTTTGGATGCGTTTGATATCCAGACACAATAATTACTCTCATCTTAGGCCCTATTTAGAACAATTGCAGCATTTTTTATAAAAAAATATTTGTGAGGATATTATGGAGAAGTTTTGTTATGACTCCAGCCTCCAATCAAATCAATCAACCTGATGTATACATATAATGTGTATTATATATATCATATGTATAAGTCATATGTCATGTACACATATACATATTGTAGTCCGGATGCGGGCTGGTATTGACTCCGTATCGAATAATTTATCATTTTTATGTGGGAAAATAATTTTTTTTAATTGAAAAGCTGCTTTTTTTAATTCTATGTATTATTTAAGTTAATTTAATTAATTATTTTGGTTATAATTTTTTTCTATAGTTAATGAGTTGTTGTGATCCTCTCTCAACCTTAACCTTATGGGCTGTTTGGCAACAACCATGATATCTAATTATATTGATAATCATCTAATTGATTATTTAATTATTTTAAAATAAATAAATATTCAACTAATACTCCAACTAATTATTCAATTAATAATTTAAGTGTTGTTTCATTTGTTTTAATATTAATTATCTTATTAATCACTTAAGTTAATTATATAAAAGTTTTATGACTAATTACACAATTAATTATTTAATTAAGCTTTTGATTATTTAATTATACTGCCAAATATATAAACAACACAACATTATATCACTAATTATTTTATTAAACTAATTAATCATTAATGTTTTAAATTATAATAATTAAGTTAATTAGATTAATTTATAATTTTAGATGGTAGGCTATTTGGGTCCTGATTTTCATCTTTTCTATTTCTTCGTTGTTTTGCTTTACCTCGTGGTCATTTTCTTCGTTGATACTGCTTTACGTGCTTAGCATATAGTGTCGAATTGAAAGCTTCACCTCCTTCGATATGCGAATTGAAAGTAATTGTCTTTATACCTTTTGCGCTCTTCGTCGGTCAAATTTGATAAATACGCCGACCTCTAGGATTTAGTAAATACAAGATTTAAACCAAATATAAGAAAAAAGTTGGTTTATCTCACCATAAAACCTAAGAGATTCCCAAATCCTATTTTATAAGATTAATAATAAATCTTTCTCAAATACTTACCAAACAACCCCTTGGTTTATAACATAAATATTGAAGAAATAATTTATGTTTTTTTGGGGACAAATTAAGGGCCATGCCCATTCATTCCATTAAGTAAAAGCTAATTACATGTGTAGAAAATAGAAAAAAAAAAACCCAACAGTGAGAGGATAAAAAAACAGCAAAAAAAAACAAGGAAGCCTTCAGCTCACACAATTTTGTAAAATAAAATATTGTAAAACCTTCAGCGCCCCAATTTCATTTGCATTAAGTAAAAATTAAAAATTAAAAACCCAAACTGCCACAATTTTTTCTTGTTTTTTGTTTTAATAGCTACTGCTGCACTAACTCGGCAACAAGCTTCCTCAAGTACGACAGTTGTCCCTCCGAGAAATTCGGCCTCGCCTCTCGGCCCTCCGCGCCCGAAAAACCCAAAACCGCCTCGCTCATCTCCTTCACCCTGTCAACGATCACCCCATCAATCCCCATCATATGCTGCATATAAACGACCTCCGCCGTGTTGTTCAATCCTCCATATGTCAGAAGCCGGAGATTGGCTTCCTTGATTCTGACCACTTCCGCCGGATTCCTCAACACCGCCCTAACCTCCGACACGATCCCCTCCAACCCATTCTCAACGCATAGCTTCACGGCCTCCTCCAACGAATTCCTCCTCTCGTCTCCATGGATCTTCAACCCCCCGTCGGTGAGGAAGAAAACAGGGTAATCTCGCTGAACCCGCCGGATTATCCGCGCAGCATCCGGCTGAAATGTCGAGAAGATCACCGGCCTTGCGCCGGCGTTCGTGGACACCAATCGAAATACATTTTCGACAGTATTGAGGAGATCCTTTTCGGCGTATTCAAGATTGTCGTCGAATTTGAGCTCAATGTTGAAGCCCAATAGGGGATCGACCTTGAGGAACGCTTCTTCTAGCGTGCAGAGCGGATCGTCAGCCTCGACCACCCAATCGAAGACCCTCCCTTCGGCGGATCGCCTGAGCAAAGGCTTCCCGGACCGAATCGCCTTCGGATCCCTCTGGGCACCATAGGAGAGGAATTCTTCAAGGGAGAGATCAGTGACGCGGCGTTCATAGACGGCATCGAGATTTCCGGTGAGGATGAAATCATCGTGGAAAATAATGGGAACGCCGTCGCGGGTTACCTGAACATCGAATTCGATGTAGGAGATCGGTAAACTGGCAACAGAGTTGAAGGAGAGGATGGAATTCTCTCTCATGATCGCCGACGATAAGGAGTTCATTCCATTGCCGCGGTGGCCGATTACGGCAAATCTCGCCGGTTTAGGGGTGTGAGAGGAGAGGGAAAGGGAGAAGGAGTGGACCTGTTGGACTTGATCGAGGGTGGGGATCTCTAGCACGGGTACGGCCTTGAGAGCCATTGGGGTTTCGAATCTCGCCTGAAGGCGGAGGAGATTGAGAAACTTTGAAGATTGCGAGATTTGAGGCGATTCAGGCGTGGAGACAGGGTTTTTTATAGTGCTCGAAGAGGGAAGGAGGAGGAAATTCGAATATTCGATATCCGCCGGGAGTGGGGGAAGGAGATTTTGGTTTATTCTAACGAATATTCGCTTGGTATTCGAATTGATTGGTCGGGACTCAGGCGGAATATTATCTGGAAAATAAAAAACTAAAAATTTCTAATAATATTTGAACTAAATAATGACAACTAATTATTTCCCAAAAAAAAACAACTAATTAATATTTATATTAATTTTGATATTTATTAACGAAATTCGTGATTTATTTAAATTTTGTTTTTGTTTTTATTTAAAAGGGCCATCTTTTTTGAAATCTTATAAGACACGATGCCTGCACGCCAACCAGACAACTACCACCTAACCGCGTAGTCTGTCAGATTAGCTCGTTTTGCTGACTATTTTCCACGTCGGTAATAAATTTCGAAATATTTGTATTAATTATTTGCTGATATGCGTTAATAAGATAGCTTAATTAGTGGATTATTTTAACTTTTAAGTCCCTGACTAGCATTTATTTGATTTAAAACTGCTGAAATTAAAAATAATAAATTGATTGGTTTGATTTTTTTTAGATTTAGATATGAAAAAATTATATTAAATTAAATGGTAGTCACTGTCAAGAGCTTTCTATAATCCATGTAGGGATTAGAATGTTTTTTATTTATTTTATTTTATTTTAGGATGTTTAGGGGATTCTAGCCCGATGAGATGGGAGGAATTTATTCCGTCAACCACTCGGTCACAGACCCGATCTCTGAGGTTAGAATGTTAGATAGCATGATTAAAGGTAATTGATGGCAAGTTTTTAAGAAGAAAATCATAAATGCTATCAATAGTGCAATATATGCAATAAAGTCTAAAGGCTATTATTAATATAATACATCCATTTTATTACATTATGATATATATAGTAATAATATGAATAGTTGGTTTGTCTCTTAAATTTAAATAAAGATTTTCTTAATATATTCCTATTAGCTAGTTGTGAGTTGTGACTTCTCTTCAAAAGGCTAAATTTGAATGAATGAAGACGGAATCGGAACTTAATATATGTACAAAAGTTTTAAGAATTCACTCATACAATATATATACAATACTCGAACACAATACCTCTTGATTGGTAGCATGGGCGGATCCCCATACAAGTGAGGGGGGGCAAATGCCCACCCTCAATTTTTATTTTATTTTTTAATTTTAGAGGGTATTTTTTGGAACATTTTGGATATTTTGAGTATTTTGCCCCCTCTCAAAAAAAATTTTTGCCCTAATTTTATCAATCCTAATCATTTTTGCCCATCCCCTAAAAAGAAGCTGGATCCGCCCCTGATTGGTAGGCAAAACTCTAACAAACAGATCGAAGTGACCTGCGTAGAATAGAGTAGTTAAAAGTACTTGAAGTAGTAGAAGAAGAATGCATCATAGGAAAAATAAGTATTCTAATCATGAATAAATATGATAAATAGTAGATTAATGTTTAAATTAAAGTTATATTTTATTTTAGATAAAATATTATGGTGTAAGATAATCAAAGTGAACATCTTCAAGATTTATAGCCACTTCCTCAGGATTAATAACTAATTATAATATGGTGAACATCACGAGGCGAAATCAAGTTCAATTTTAAGGGGGGCAAGTAGAGTACAAAAATAATTAAATATATATATATAAGAAAAAGTTATTTAAAAAAATAAGAAAGAAAAATAAAGTGTAATTAAATTATCATGAAAAACATTAAAGAAAATATTATAACTAAATTTGATGAAATATATAGATATTTTAGGACAAATTAGGACAAAAGAGTTTTTTAGGGGGGCAAAAGTAATTTTTTAGGAGGGGCAAAAATTTTTGTTTCTCTCCTATAATTTTTTTTTTTTTTTTTTTTTAACTATATCCTTATATCAACATAGTTCGATTTCATATTCACACTGAGGCCAATTAGATAAACCTTACTACTTAGGCTTCAATTAAGACCATTTTTTATATTTTTTAAAATTATATTTTGAAAGTAATAAAGTCTACCAATCAAAATCTTATGCTTCATTTGGATGGCTTTTTATTGATTTTTTTAACAAAAAAAATTGCTTGAAGAGTAACAAGTCATCCCAAAAAAGAAACCTAGGTCCATTTGAGACGACATTTATATATTTATTATATATTATATTAAAGTAGTTGTAAGTTGTTGTTAAGAAAAATAATTTTTTAAATTTGATGTAAAAAAATCTTTTAATATCAATTTTTTTGAAAGCAGTGAAAAAATAATAGTCAAATAAGATATATGATTTGCAATTTGAAAAGTAAAGCAATAAGAAATGTCCCAAGAGAAGATATTATTACGTGCGCGACATCATAAAGGTCCGGAAGCCAATTAAAATGCTTATCATCACCAATCAAACATAATATATTTAAGTGACGTGACACGTTTAATTGCCCTCAAAATTCAACATCCACGTTTAACAATTCTCCACAAGAAAGCGTTATAAAACAACTTTCGAAGAGAAAATCGATATAGGCTGTACTTATTTGGACATTTTATATGGATGAAATGTGCATATGAGGAATAAAATAAAAAAATACTTTATATAAAAAATATATATATAATTTAGCCTTATAAAAAATAGCACACAATTTTCTCATCAACTCTTAAATCACCAACAAACTCTTAAATATGCAGAATAGCTTCTCAGATATTTTTAACAATTATCTCAAAGAACTACCCACCACTAACGGATGGCGACCGCCACCTTTAACCAACTTATTAATATTCAATTAAAAATAATATTTTTAAAAATATCAAAATATATTTTATTTCGCATCAAATATAAATAAAATAAATAAATAAATAAAATAAAAAAAAAAAAACTGGGGACCCTAAAAAACGAATTTTTATTAGGTCCAGACACCTTGAAGTAGCTCTATATCGCGCGCCAAATAAAATGGTCACCCGTGCCTCTTACTTCTTTACCGTGCGGCCCGACGACCCGATCCGGAATGGAAACCCGGTATTGCTATGTTCGTGTATTGCTAGTTATTTGCTCGGATTGCTAAGGTATTGCTCGGTGTTGCTAGGTTATTTTGGTCTTGACAAATGGTTTCTCATTACGAGCAATACCCTGTCTGTACCAAATCAGCTAATACATTAGTAATATCGGATTGCCGGTTCCCGGTCGGGTCCT